TATATCCTGCATGGTCACCTACATGGTTTGAATCCCAGCCTGCCACTTCAGAAAATTCACTGGTCCAAAATCTTAGCAGGATGGAGAAATGAACGACAAATATTTTTGTCTAGACCCTGTCCCATCAAGGGGTGCTTCCCCCTCCAACTCTCTCTCTCTCTGTCACTCTGTCTCTAGAGAGAGTCATTACACTCTTAAAAATTTTAAAACTATAAAGTTCTACTAAGCAACAAGTCATCAACCAGGATGAGTGGAAAAGGTAACTTAGTTTGGGTTATCCAAGAGTAGACCCTAAGACAAATATTTCACTGAATGAAGTTTCTTGGGGCAGGGAAGAAACTACCAGCATTGGTATGGGAAAGTGAGAGGAGCAAAAAAAGCATCCCGTGCAAGGTCCACCGTGGGGATGACAGGCCACCAAAGTAAGTAAAGCTCACAGTGTAGAGCCATCCCACCTAGTTGGTAATAGAGCTAGAGGTTACACACCAACTCCCATTGATCACTGGATGAGAGCTGCTGCCAAGAGCTGTCCTGGTGCCTAGATCTTCCCACTTACACTGTGGTTTCAAAGCTGTCCCTGGGGGGCAAAAAAAAAAAAAAAAAAAAAAAGACATCTGCCAACAAGTTCTGGGACTTACAGGAGGAAGTAAATGAGCCTGTGTTCACTGCAGCAGTCAGGTTGAGAGCATGGGACTGAAACACAGACAGCTTCTGTGACAAGGGTGAGAGTAACCACACTGATGGGGCACAACAAGGACTTTGTCAACCTAAGAGAAGGGGCGAGCTAACAGTGGAGGACACCAGCATGCTTCCAGTTCCTCCAGGCCTAATACACCCTTTCTCCATTTCCAAACCTTTCCATTTAGGTCAAGTCAATGACATCTGCTAGCCGCATTGGACCTGGCACTTAACACGGTGTGTATTACAGTGCTTTACTTTGTAATTTATCTCTGTCACTTGAATGTTTTTGATAAAATAAATACACTGAGATTGGTAGTGCCACTTGACATATCTCAGTTCTGATCTGAACATTGAATTGATATTGTTTGTTTATTTTAATTTAAGGAGTACATCTTTTCAGTATCTACCTGCAGCATATTTTTATAATTTCATGTAAACCAACATAATGTATTAGCATATAACTTTTTCTGGCTAATTAAACACATGCTTTGAATTTATAAACCTTTCTTGAGCTATTGTTACTATGATTATTCCTTACTTGTGAGACATTCTCTTATGTTGACGTGTTTTTTCAACTGATTAAAGGCACCCTAGACTACTTACTATTGCTTTATCCACCTTTAATTCGTTCAGATATAGAATATCATCCATTTATTTTAAATTCAATGGATTTTAGCTTTTCTAGCTATAGAGTAATCATCCTTCTTATTTTAAAGATAACAAAGCTAGGTCTGGCTCCTGCTCGCAAAGCCATTGTAGTACATTGAACTCCATAGAGACAGCGCCTGGTCAAGTGAAAGCTAGACGGGCACTGGGCGATTCTGTGACTTGTGGAGAAAAGATAACTAAACATGGGCAAAGGAGATTCTAGGAGGCCAAGAGGCAAAATGTCATCATAGGCATCTTTGTGCAAACTTGCCTGAAGGAGCACAAAAAGAAGCACCTAGATGCTTCAATCAACTTCTCAGAGTTTTCTCAGAAGTGCTCAAAGAGGTGGAAAACCATGTCTGCTAAAGAGAAAGGAAAGTTTGAAGATATGGAAAAGGCAGACAAAGCCCGTTATGAAAGAGAAATGAAAACCTATATCCCCTCTAAATGGAAACAAAAAGGAAGTTCAAGAATTCCACGCACCCAAGAGCCCTCCTTCTGCCTTTTTCTTGTTCTGTTCTGAATATCGCCCAAAAAACAAAGGAGAACATCCGGCCTATCCATTCATGATGTTGCAAAGAAACTGGGAGAGATATGGAATAACATTGCAGCAGGTGATAAACAGCCTTATAAGAAGGCTGCTAAACTTAAAGAAAAATATGAAAAGGATATTGCTGCATACTGAGTTAAAGAAAAGACTGATGCAGCAAAAAAAGAAAAGGGAGTTGTCAAGGCTGAAAAGAGCAAGTAAAAGAAGGAGGAGGAAAAAGACAAAAAAGATGAGGAAAAAAAGAAAGATAAAGAGGATGAAGATGAAGAAGATGATGAATAAGTTGGTTCTAGTGTAGTTTTTTTCCCTTGTCTATAAAACATTTAACCGCCCTGTGCACAACTCCCTCCTTTTTAAGAAAAAAACTGAGATGTAAGGCCATGTAAGATTTGTTTTTAAACTGTAAAGTGTCTTTTTTTGTATAGTTAACATGCTACCGAGTGTGTCTTTAGATAGCCCTGTCCTGGTGGTATTTTCAATAGCCACTAACCTTACCTGATACAGTATGGGGGTTGTAAATTGTCATGGAAATTTAAAGGAGGTACTTACTGGTGCACAGCACAAATTAGTTATATATGGGGATGGTAGTTTTTCCATCTTCAGTTATCTCTGATGTAGCCTATATGAAATAATTGTTGTTTTGTCTACTGAATACCACTCTAATTGCAAAAAAAAAAAGGTGCAGCTGTTTTATTGACATTCTGAATTCTACTAATGAAACACAATTTAAAAAGATAACAAAGTTAAAACCACAGAATATAAAATATCTGACTAAATATAATTAATCTTATGGTTTCAAAAATTATTTCTAGCATTGAACTTTAATATATTTCAGTGCTCTTCTTTTCTTTTTTAATGGTCTTTGAAATACATTAGCAAGTCATCTAATTTTTCCACTTTCATTCCTTGATCAATATACTCTTTTGGACTTTTTAATATGTATTCATAAACCTTTATTATAATTTAAAAATCTAGTACCATCACTCTTCTCTTCTGTGAAGAACTCTGCTTGTGTTAAGACTAATCTAATTGCCTTTGCTTCTGTGAACACTTAATAAACACTTATAGTAATGAATACAGGGGTGTGATCCATGTGCTCCAAAATCAGAAGTATATAACAATCAACCAATTTAAATGGATTAATTTCGTTATTCCTAAGGTGGGCAGATTATAAAGTTGAGCTTATTCTTCTCTCTCTTGCTTATATGGTGCTGTCTACCATATTTTGAAATATTAAGAAGGTCCTTTGCAGATATGGTCCCTTGATATTGGACTTCTCAGCCTGCCTGAGGATGAGCCGCCAAAATTTTCTGTTCGTTATAAATTACCCAGTCTGCAGTATTCTCTTATAGCTGTGCAAAATGAACTAAGACAACCTAATTTCCTACATCCTTGTCACTATTATAAGGGTAAAGGTCTGCACAGGGGAGACTGTTGTCAAAACGACCTGGTCCTCAGCTCCCATACCTTCTCATCTGGCGGTTTTGCAATTAATGCAATATGACTTGTTCTTTGACTCTACTTGAGCTGTTGTTGTAAAAAGATCATTTCAAATCTGAAAAGAAATGAGCAGGATATTTTCATGAGCTTGAGACTGAAAAAGAAGCTCAGAGCCCTGCTACTGGGATTTAATAATGTTGTGTTTCTTATTTTTTCCTTTGAAGTTTTGTTTTGATAGCTGAAGTCAAAGGGACAAGGAGCAAGGATTCTTGGTGTCTGGGAACCTTCAGTCTCCTGTGATTCTGCACTATACCATGTCCTCTTCTCCCTGCAAAGGGTCCTCAGCCACATGCTCCTCCATTCCCTGGCACTTTGGGCTCTACCCGACTTCTCCCTTACCACCTGGATTAGTGGTTACTTCCATCTCTGCCCACCCTGGCTAAGGCCTCCATATAGTATGCATGAGTAGAGCTATGGTCATGTGCACTCTCCACAGTCATAGGATATAGGCTGTTGTCCCCATCCATGCCTTGTGGGGCCACAGCACTTTTGATGGGTTGCTCAATGCGGATAAGCCACCTGCCACCATCAACCCAGGTCTCCACTGATTACTGGTCTGGAGGTTGCAATTCCTTGGTGGACACCTGTCTACATTTGTTTGATATGATGGGCCCATGAGAAGGGCAGATGTGCATCTCGGATTCCTTGCCCTCATTCTAGCTCTGCATATTTGCTTAGCAGTTGTCAGGACAGGAAGCCTATCAGAGAATGAGCTGTGTGGATGCTGAGTTGAAGGGCAGAGCTTACAGACACACTCTGAGAATACTTGTGTGCCCAAGGGAGAGGGACATTATATACCAAATATCCAACACTAGGACAGGTCAAGACAGGACAAAGATTTATATACTTTGTTACCTTTAATAACAGCTTTTTCCATGTTTATTAACAAAAATCCCACCCTTTTAATATTTTCTTGAATCAAGAAAATCCTATAGGCAGTTTTAAAAATAGAGAATAAGTGATCTTATTGTCCAGTTCTGGGCTAGACTATTTTGAGTTGGTTGTGAACATAAATCTCTTGGTTGTGAAAATTATATGTGTTTCTCCAAGGCAGCAGGACACAGGAAACCATGTCTCATAGAATAACTTACTAATTATAGTCATCCAAAGTAAATTTCCTTTCATGATTCACACCTTACACTGTAGGGGATTCCTTGTGAGGAATTATAATGGGTGAAGTTGATTGGCTGACTTCAAGGCTATCTTGAAGGAGAAGACTACGCAAAGGTAATTTTCACAAATGGAATAATATTGCATGTGAATATCTTTTGCAAGGAAGAGCTTCACAAGTATAAAGGAGTAGGTATTTAAGTTAAATTTCTTCACTTATTCAGGTAATTAATAATGTGATTTTTAATCTCAGGAAATTCTTTGTATTTTTGCTCGTGGTTGACTATGAGGTTTAGACATAGTCACAAAAAAGAGAACGATATTTTTGTTTTAATTTTAAAAGATTTTTTACTTTGTAATTGAAATGTCAGAAACGATATGAGACAATATGTAAAAGTAGTCATTTAGATATGTAGTTTATGTAGTTTTATCTTTTTTCATTTTCAGGGTTCAAAATGATCGTTTCCTACTACAGGAAGGAGCAGACACACAGCAGGCATCAAACAGCAGAAGCATGGCCAGCAATTTCTCCCAGCCTGCCGTGCAGCTCTGCTATGAGAATGTGAATGGATCTTGCATTAAAGTTTCCTTTTCGCCTGGATCTCGTGTGATTCTCTACGCTGTGTTCGGCTTGGGGTCTTTGCTGGCTCTGTTTGGAAACCTTTTGGTGATGACTTCGGTTCTGCATTTCAAGCAGCTGCATTCTCCAACCAATTTCTTAATTGCCTCTCTGGCCTGTGCTGATTTCTTGTTGGGTATGACTGTGATGCCCTTCAGTATGGTCAGGTCTGTGGAGAGCTGCTGGTACTTTGGAGCCCAATTTTGTACTCTTCACATTTGCTTTGATGTGGCATTTTGCTTCGCTTCCCTCTTCCACTTGTGCTTCATTTCCATTGACAGGTACATTGCTGTTACTGACCCTCTGGTCTATCCAACTAAGTTCACAGTGCCTGTGTCTGGAGTGTGCATCAGCATCTCCTGGGTCCTGCCTGTTCTGTACAGTGGGGCCGTGTTCTACACAGGGGTCAATGACGACGGGATGGAAGATCTAGTAAGTGCTCTCAGCTGTGTAGGTGGCTGTCAGGTTGCTGTGAATCAAGACTGGGTTTTGATAGATTTTCTGTTATTCTTCATACCAACCCTTGTGATGGTAATTCTTTACAGTAAGATTTTTCTTGTAGCTAAACAGCAAGCTATAAAAATTGAAACTACTGGTAGCAAAACAGAATCATCTTCAGAGAGTTACAAAGCTAGAGTGGCGAAGAGAGAGAGAAAAGCAGCGAAAACCCTGGGGGTCACAGTGCTAGCCTTCATGATTTCATGGTTACCGTACACAATTGATGCGTTAATTGATGCTTATATGGGCTTCATAACACCTGCCTATATTTACGAGATTTGCTGTTGGATTGCTTATTATAACTCAGCCATGAATCCTTTGATTTATGCTTTATTTTATCCTTGGTTCAGGAAAGCCATAAAGCTTATTTTAAGTGGAAAAATTTTAAAGAATAGTTCATCAACCATTAGTTTATTTTCAGAGTAAGTGTTAAGTGCTAAGTAGAGAAATTTATGGACATTTTAAAAATTATGTATTTCTGATGAAATCAAATATAAGAAATTAATAAAGCCTTTACAAATTACCAAATACATTGTTTTTCAAATTATTCAGGATTATGTCAGAAGAGGATTAAGCCATTAGAACATTATTAAGATATTTACTGAACCAAATACTAAATGAGAAAGCACTTTCTATATGTCACCTGTCACAGTGTTTTGTATACATCGTTGCCACATGGTCTTGTTTCTTCCAATTTCCTGAATTTTGAATCTCATTTAGAATGTGCAATCTCTAATCATCTTCTCTTTTATGCTCTTCTCTCAATTATCTTCAAATGGTCATTTGTTTCTTGATTTTTGTGATACTGTATTTGTTTCTAAGGCTACCAAAACAAAGCACCATGGATTACATGGCTGAAGCAACAGACACTTATGTTCTCCTAATTCTAGAGGCTAAAAGTCCAAGAATAAGGTATTGGCAGGGTGGGTTTCTTTTAAGGACCTCTCCCTTTGGCTCCCAGATGTCTTCTATGTTCTGTGTCCTCATGTCATTGTTCTCATGTCTCTGTCTGGGTGTGTCTCTGTCTTAATCTCCTCTTTGTATAAGGTTGTCAGTCACCCCAAACACCTCACTTTCAGTTAATTCCTTCTTAAAGACAGAAGCACTGGAGATTAGGACTTCAGCATATGAATTTCCAGTGACAATTTTGCCCCTAAACTGACCACCACACAAGGTTCTGTTTAGTTATTGCTTTTTTAATGACTATTTCTCCTTTTTCTTTTAGTGTTTCTAACTCCCAGAAGTTTGTGTTTAACGACTGTGCAGAATCTTGGAAGGTTCACTCATAAGATTGTGGGACCAGTCATTGAGCCTTGGGATCAGGTAGTAGCAGTAGAGGTGGCTCCAAATTTTGTAAATGGGAAAATATCTACAATGATAAGACTGGCACAGTAGTTATTAGAAAATGGGAACTCCAACATTAGCCATTGCTGTACCAACATTTACTACCTGAAAAGCGTGTGTGATTCACTTTTCCAAACTTTCTCAAAAGCCTCCCCCTCTGAAAGTAGTGTGTATTTCACCTCACCACACTGTTGCAGGTTCAACATTCTTATGGTAATAAAACCAAAATCATTTATTAGGAATAGTGCAAATAATGTGTATTTTAATTTTATATTTCGCTCTATGGAATAGTTTCTTCTGCTTATTCAATAGAACTCATTTAAGAATGCATATTTATAGTATTTCGTACAACAAAAGTAAGTTCCAGTAAAGCTTAAAACTTTTTTCTTTTCTCATATATATCTGTTAAGCAATTATTAAAATCATTAGTTTTTTTCTCATTATTTTTTTTTTTTTTTTTGAGAGAGAGATTTTCACTGTAGGGCGCGTGCGCTCGCCAGACAGACAGAGAGAGACATAGAGACAGAAAGCGAGAAATCACCCCCCAGGGGGGATGGTCACGCCGCAATCCCTTCTCCTCCATTCTCCTCTCGGGATCTTGGGCACGCACGCACACGCGCCCGGCGTGAGTTTTAAGCCACTGGGTCTGGGACACGAACCGCGGTCAACTACGTGGGAGTCCAGCGACATAGCCATTACGCTAACTGCTGGTTCCCCTCATTAGTTTTCAATCAGAGAATTTTTAACTCCTTTCAAACAAATTTTGGGCATTAATCAAGAATAAGTAACTATATCAGAATAGCTCACATTTAAAAATTATATAAAAGAATTGCAAAAATTAATAGAAAAAATGAATTAAAGTATGAGTTTATTTGATACAAAAATGTTTCTGAAACCAGATTCCACATGGCCAACCACGGTTTGAATTCCAGCCCTGGTGTCTTGAAAAGTACAAGGTGCTCTTGCCTGTATGTTCCAAATCCCAACAGAGTGGAGAAATGGAAGAAAAGGGATGGTGTCATGATCACATCTTATTGGGGTGGTGCTCTCTCTCATTGGCAAGTACATGTGGAATCTGGCAAAAAAAAAAAAAAGAAAGAAAAAAATAGACTTTTGATGATATTCTAGCAAGTCAGAAGACAGACAGAAATCTGGAGTTGTTTCTAATTTTTCAACAACAAGGTTAACTTCCATAAATGGAGGATCAGGTTTGACAGAATGGAAGGCAATGCATACATTGGCAGCATGTCTAGCTTTGGCACATTAAAATATATATATATTATGCTCCCTATTTTTAGGGTATAGATGACAAACATGTAAAACAAATTAAGTGAAGGATTTTGCTAATAAAGATAGCCAGTGGTGTTGTGATTAAGGCAGTTAAATCTTACATGGTTGACTATACAGTTTGAGTCCCAGACTGGGTGATATGTGTATGCTCAAAGTCCCGAAAGGATGGAGAGATAGGGGGGAAGTAGTGGCATTACCATTCCCCACAGAAAATGTTTTCTCATGTTTCCTCTTTCTCTCTGTCTCTCCATAGCTGTGTCTCTGTCTCTCTTTCAGGTGAATGCATATTGCCTCTGCCAAATTTGGGTGAAAAAAGAGTTGGATAATAGTCTTATTCAATGAATGTTCTAAAGTATTGCATTTTTGTTAAATTAAGCTGCAGTCAAAGTGACAGACATTCAAAGATTAATATATTTTTTTAATTTGTTTTTTTTTGTGCAAAAAATGTTTTTTATGAATTATGTCAAAACCTCCAATATCATTCTAATCATGGAGTTTCTCTTGAATGTGTAATAAGTGGTGCAACTTAACAAAGGAGAGGAGATGGGAGACTGCAGTCTTCCACATTCTTTTTTTTTTTTTTTTGGGAGA